CTATCACACTCGCCATCCCAATCTCCAATGGATGGTCATGATCGAGCATCTCCTAACCAGTCACTTTCATCAATAAAAAATCAATCAATCGATCAAATGCTTCATGACTCTTCCGATCAAGGTCATGCCATTAGCCAAGCATATCATTCACCAACACAGCAAAAACCGGATCAACCAGCAAAAAGCGATGAGAAGAATGTTTTATCATCAAATATTGAAACAGTAATGACTTCTAGTGTGTACGTCGTACAAGATCAGCATTCACCTGAGCGTGAAACGTATTATATTCATCAGCAACATCACAAGCAACCACGACCTAAAGAAGGCAGTAACGAGCCAGGATCAGTCATGGATTCACACGGAAACCGAACTGGTGTTGACGATAGCAAGGGAAATCAATACGGTACTATCACTTCAGATGATGAATCACCGGAGGAAGAAAGTCGAGCAGACAACGTGATGATGACACTGAAGGGAGCTGGTACACAATTTAATGATAACAATTTATCACTTATTTGATAAATCAAATTCAGTATTGAATTTTTCTATAACTCATTTTACATATGTAATAAAATAATCTGTTTTTATACATAAACAATTAGACTGTCAAATAAATTCGTTCGTTTCTTTTTTCTTCATTCAGTTCATTAAACGTTTTATTATCGTTATTCATTTAATTGTCGCATCAGTTATAATCGTTGCGAATTCAATTTCCAATTGTTCGACTATGTGCGGAAAACGAATGGCATTGAGTTCAACGTTTAATTTGTTCGATTTCATTTTGTTTACTTTCATTCGTCTATTCGAACGTTTAACGATGTTCCTTAGACATAAATAAGGAACGATGCACTCACATAATAATAAGATCACCATGAATCGTTGAAAACGACAAAGCATAGTGTTGGTGCGTATGAGTGAAGAAGATTGAGTGTGCACGGAGGGACGACGTTTCTATGGTTATTTTAGATGGGGAAACGGATTGAAAGATGTAATTTGCTGATCGTTTTTGCTTGTGCATTTTTGCGAAGGAGATAATTTGAGTGATTTGTGTCAAATAAACAATCGTTTTGTTTGTTTATAAATTATTTATGCAGAACACATTTTTATTTATCTCTTCAATAGAACATTATTTGCACCATCAGTTTATTCCTTTCAGCGCTTCTTTGAAGGATTCTCGTTGACATAATTCTCACTCAACTCGCATTGTTACGTCCATTTTTTTAAAAAGTGCATCTGATTGTTTTTTGAATTTGAATTCAGTTGAATTGAAGTAGCGCATGAAATTGTGTCATCATAAGCATCTGCTATAAAATGCAATCATTCATTGGATTTCAGTTTCAGAACTCATTTTGATTCATTCCATTGATTTGATCAATTATTTCATAGAATTATGAGTGTTGATTTTATATGGTGATGATTGATCGTGTTATTGATTGACAATGAACTCTTGAGCAATGAGCAGACCAGAAATCTTGGTTTGTGCTCGAGCAGCCAATGAGCAGACCAGAGAGCAGTGAGCACGAGTTTGAGCAACTCAAAAATATCCCCTACAAACACATTTCAGTCAGCAGCACATTCCATCGCAAGCCTATATCCCATTCCCGGTGTTATTATCAAGCATTATTGTATTTCATACAACCGTTCGGATGTTTATGATCATACTGAATAAAGAATCACTCTGCTAATCGCTTTATTCATCAAGATTGTTCGTTTAACTGTGTTTCAATTCTTTGTTGAAAACATTCACTGAAATAAAATAAATCTTTTTTTTTCGCTGAATACGAAATCTTTCATTCACAAAACACATTTATTTGCAGCGATCAAATCAATTCTACCACAACATATTATACATCTGTTTTGGTTCAAATTTCACTTCCATTTTATTATACCACATTTCACATTGTATATATAAATAGCACTTTCAATATCCCATCACACTCTTATATCGACAACACGCTTTTCTTACACGATTCCGAATCATAACAGCAAGCGTTTTACTCGTTACCCGTTTCGTGACTCATTTCCTATTCAATTCCTGACTTATTGTTAAATAATTATTTAAAATTATTAATTTCAAATGAAGTTTAATTTATCAAGTGCAATTAATTACTTTCTTCAAATTATTGGTATCTTTTTCGTTGTTTGATTATTTGACATGATTATCTAATCGTAAGTAATAGCTGTTATCCAAAGTGTACATGAACCATCATCAGCATACATTTTGTTTCCTTTATTTCGAAGTTCATTGGCTTCCGGTCTCAACTAATAAAAAGTAGCATTGAATATATTATGCAAATGGGACGTTAAAGCAGTTAAATCGCCTTCAACAACTTCAAATTACCTTATAATTCCGAATTATACTCCAATTCTATTCTATACTGATCTCTCTCCCCCGTCCCCCCGCCTCCTTCCCCCACATCTTTACCGCAGGCTTTATATGCTCCGTTCATTTCAGTCTCCATCCTCGAATTTGCTTCCCTCCCCCTCTCATCGGTGCGCAAGTTACACGTTCCTCAGGGTGTATATATTCAGGACTATACGGTAATTCAACACCAGTTTTGAAAGGAGTTGAAGCCGTACTAGTTAAGCTGTATTAAATTGTGATGAGCTCTGAAAATGAATCAATCTACAAGAAAATTTATCTGCAAGGAAAAATAAAGTCTTCAAAATAGAGTATGACACGTCGTTTAGAATATTCAAACTACCTTATAATTAAGCATCAGTCTCAGCTCACAGTTAAGCAGTCAGCTATTTCAGCTGATTGATGCACAGTATTTATTTATTACCAAATTTAGAATCTCCCTAATAATACCTTCACGATACAATTGCAGTAGGATTAAAAAGACTGATTGCAATAAGAGTTATAATAGCAGTTTTTGAATGTTACTGATATCCAAAAAGATCTTTACAGATTTTGTTTGAAAAATGAATCATCAAGTGACATCATCGATAAATTTTGGTCTTCTACCATAGGAGCACAGGCGTAGACATTGTTTCGGTGGATTTGCTAATAATCCGCCGAAACATCTTTCTTATCATAGTGTGCATTCAATTTGCATAAGTTTGGATGTGTCTGTATGATACGGAGTCTGAAATTCTGCAATCGTACACATGACTTTTGTTTTGCGTCGTTTCTCAAATGAGGAATAAGCTTTGCCTTCAATCGAGAATAGACATCCTTTCCATGGTGGTTGCTTTCGGTTGTGGGTATCTTGCATCAGCATTCCCAATCATCCGTCAACTGAGGGAAGGTGTCATAATCTCGGTTTAGAATGAAGTGATCGAACTCTATTCCTTTCCAGAGGTTTTCCTCATTCAGCCCGCCGGGTTTTCCCAATCTTGCTCAGGTTCCCTCCTCGTTTTCAATTTGCCCTAGGATCCGCTCCTCATCTTTGGATCGCTTTTCTGGTCCGCACTCTCCTGTTCCCTACTCCTCTCCTCTCCTTTCCTCATTTTCCTACTGTGAAAGTTTCTCTTTCTCCTTGTGCTTGCATGTCCTCCAAGCGGGCCCTTCTCCACTGAAATAACTAGAACACCCCCTTTTTCTTGTAGAATTCTTCCCTCCTCTGAAATCCGTCTTTCTCTTCGGCAACGCTTTTTCCTGCCGAAGAACCAATCCCTTCGCCTTTTGTTGAGCTTTTTTGTTTCATGCTTCAGAGTATGAACGAATACAATTTTATGAACGAGCGATTTTGCACACACTCGGCGCTTAGTGCGGTTGACTCTGAAAGATTTACGAGGTGCGATGAAAAGTGATAACGAATGTGATTGCAAATGTGGGATGGATATGTGTATATATCGATCTGACTTGTATGTATTGTGCTTGTGATTGGAGTGCAAAATTCAAATAAAATCTTTTATGGTTCCAAACGAATTGCATTCACCAATGGTATATGGTGTTAGATCATTAGTGCCTTTGGCAATCGGTTTAACATTTGGTGTGCTCATATCATTGGTGATATTTCCACAAGATGAGTATACCATTCCAAATGGGTCATGCTCGATTGCGCAGCAGCCGGAAGCACTGAAAATAGTGGATGATTCATCTGCAGACTGGCAAGTGGTCGTCAAGAAAATCCCATCATCCGCTCATCGTGCACAGTCAAATGCAGCAAAGGTTTTATTGCTTTTCAAATTTATATTTCTATGCATCTCACTGAATTCCTTATATGAAACCATTTACTCCACTTATCAGCTGTGGTTCCATTCATGAATAGCACATGAATACAATTAAGTAAACAAATAAAATTTTGTGAAATGCAGCATAATTCTAATTGCGAGTTAATGCTAACAATAAGATACACATATAATATATTTGCCAATATCAACTGACTGGAAAGAAAATGTTTGACGAAGTTAACATAATAAATCTGTTATCAAGACATCATCAACGAAACAAAGCATATTTTGTAGGTGGTTCGTGCTCGTTTTGCGGCCACGGAATTGGGTATTCGTGAGAAGTTGTTGGTGATAATATTAGGACAGTCATCACTATCAATTGCATTGAACGCATCAATCGCTCATCATTTACCTCATTTGCAAATCTTCATCGATGTCTCGAGAATCGACAGTGATATGGCCTCGTTGCCGAATCTTATTCAGTATCGTTCCAATTCACAACATCCACACGTCACCATTCTCAATCATATCTTCAACATGGTTATTGCTGTTTTCATGTTATTGTAATATGTATTCATCTTATTTTTGATGTTATTTTAATAAGTATTAATCCAACTCAGTTTCATTCTTTCTTAGACATTACATGAGAACTACGATTGGTTCTATTTGATGCCTGATACAACATATGTAAATCCATTTGAACTGCTGCATTTCGTGAATCATATAAACTGGAATCGAAAAGTGGCAATTGGTGGCAGTTTAACAAACGACAACAAATGCACTCTGCAGGCTGGTATTTTATTGTCAAACCCAGCAATGCAATCGTTAATACAGTCAGTTGAATTTATTACTTCGTTCTCAATAGTTATTTACTCTCTTCATTTAGATAGTATTCATTATTATTTTATTCAGTTATCACATCATTATTGTCACTTTCATTTGATTTTTGTTCCCATCGTTTTTATTCCGCTTTTATATTGAACTCAAGAGAATTTGGAAACGTTCGTGAAATTGACTGAATACAAAATTTGCTATCGAAATATACGTGTTAAATATACAAATATCAATTTGTTCCAATTTCAATTTTCAATTTTTTAGACAACGTCACATTTGTAATTCAATCGTGAGCAGTTCCGATCATACAGCCTTCGAAATGTGTATTCGACACGCCACTAATTTATCGTGTGTTAGTCAGTATCAAGGAATGACGTATAACTGGTGGAAAGTGGATGAGAATAAGATTAATGTTGATCGAAGCGGTGGTATAACAATCCATGACAAAGTGAATTTGTGGTCGAAATCAACCGAATTCAACGAGTCAATTTGTGTATCTCCGTTACTTTCCGAGGCAGATGTGCGTGCGTTACATGAACATTTCATTCATGTTCAACTGAATAAGATTGACGCAAAAATTGATAAATTAGTAGAAGAAATTGATTCGATGTCTGATTACATCTCTGATGGACCTACGTGGCCTATTGGTATACCGTCGTATTCAAAACCGCCTAATAGATATCAGGTTTCGCTGGAATTTTGTGTTTATTGATTTGTTGTCATCACCAGATTTTTTTTATTTCTCTATTATTATTGATGAACTCGGAATACTGAACTAAGAGTATCCATTTCTTGATTATTCATCTCTTTTCAATCAACTGATAATTATTGTTGCAGTTTAACTGTTACGACCCGAATGAGTTGAATTCGTATGAGAATTATATTCATTATAGGTACCTAAATGGGAATTTTTTACAAGTGATGAAATTTTCAAAAATGAACCCAACCATAACGTTCATGCATTGATCGGTGATGACAAGGCTGATGTTGATGAGGTTTTCTTTTCTATTTTAAAGATTGTTCGCTTATTATCTTAATGAATGTTGCCATATTGTTCAATTGTGCGCAGTTTAATGTTGAATGGCAGCACAGAATTTTCAACGGGATTCAATTGAGGTTGTGCAATCAGCGCGTGATTTCATCGAAAATAAAGCTGACGAAATGGAAGGAACAGGGATGGAATTTGTGAAGTTACAAAATGGTTATCGTTTATTCGACGCGATGCGTGGTATGGATTATATGGTAGATTTGATATATCGGAATAAAGTCAGTCCAGAAACGTTCATTCGGAGAGTTCACTTAACGAGAGCTATTGCGAGTACTCAGCTGATGCATCAAGTACGAAATCATCTGTTCAACTTCATTTTATCGTTTCATCAATTCACTTGTTCAAATCTGCCGTCTTCATGGAAGCTTGAATAAATGTATGATATTTCAGGTACCGTACGTGAAAGAAGACACAGATCTGACGATAGTGATACCACTCGGATCGTCGACAACAAATATAAATGCCGAAATAGGTGCATTAAATCGGTTATTGTCCATATATTCACGGATTTGTCAATCGACCAATATCGGTGAAACAAGACAAACGCGGATTGTTGTTACGGCACGTAACGTTGATCAGTCGGCGATTGATTCAATCAACAATCATTTGGTTGATTTAAGTTTGCGGTATGGTTATTATCATTGTTATCAATATTATTTTATTGTCGTCATTATCATGTTATTTATTATTAATCTGATATATTCATTAACAATAACGATAGAATTGTAGATGCAAGTCGTCAGGAACAGACACGATGTTGTTGTTGCTGAAAGGAGATAGTCATCCGATGATATCGGTTGCATCCCTCGATGAAGCGATCAATCACTTTGGTCATCAAATGATCTACTTGTTGCTATCACCGCATGCCGATATACAGCGTGAATTCCTGGATCGAGTTCGCATCAACACCATCAAACATTTTCAGGTTATCTTGTTTTGAATTGTTTGTGGTATATTTATCGTCGTGAGCATAATTTTTGTTGGTTTACGTATC